CTCTCCTTGATGGAATCCATCGACTGAATAAGCTAAATTCTCCTGGAGTCAGCTTTAATATTTCCTATGGGGATGGGGAGGCTCTCAAAGAAGTGGCAGGAGACATATTTTACTGAGGGGAAGCTACCTCTCTTGCTGGAATCAGAGGTTGCACAGTGAGAAGTTCTGGGGGAGATGATGAGCTTTGTCTGGGGCAGGATGCTATTCAGGGCACATCTGAATATCACAGTTGGCCTGAAGTGATCCGTGCTTGCTGTTTGATTAACATTTGATTTCCTTTTATTGCTTCTCTGCACACACAAAGCTAAATTCCAAGCTGCTGAAAGCCACAGGCAGAGCTGCTGAGTTCAGTAAAACCATCTGAGGAGGCACAGGGAGCTGGGGGAACGCTGCTGTTCTGCACCAAGGGGCTCCAAGGCATCAGCTCATGCTGTGGGAGAGAGCCTGGCCCCTGAATTCCCTCTGGAGCAGGGGTGCAGTGGAGCAGGGTCATCACCTGATCTTCAGCAGATGGTTGCAGAATTTTCCATCATTCTCCTCAAACAACAAACCAAATATGATTTTTTTTAACATCTCTCCCATCAAACCAGCATCTGAATGTCCCTAATACATCTCCATAAAAATTTTCACAGCTGTTCTAGCAAACAGCCTGGAGTGCTGCTGGCTTTTATGAGTATTAACTATGTTAAGCAAAGCAAATCTCACTATTACACTGTCTGTGGGAGCAGCACACTCCTCCCATCAGTCTCCCTGAGCAAGGCAAAGGGTGATCAGTGTCCTGTTACCATCAAAGCTGTGGTTTAAGATGCTTTTACCAAGAGCAGGACATCAGCCCTGGCCCAAAGCAGCTTCTTGTTCCTGCTGCTATTGTTGTAAGGAACCTGATGTTCCTGACATGTCATCAGACATTTCTGAGCAGCCTCCTCCTTTGAATGAGAATTAAAAACCCATACTGCTGTTCTGTGTCATTCTTTGGGGGTTTGTTTTGGCATTGATTTGGCAGACCCTGGTCTCATCCAGTTCCTCCAAGCAGCCACAGTGGCAAAAGCTCAGGGCAGTGCTGGGTTGGGGCCTGAGCTTTTGAAATGTTGGGAGGGAGAAAGAATATTAGAGAATTTAAAAGAGTCTGTTGAGCTCTGCTGCACAGAAAAACAAAACAAACAGGACTTGATTTCTTGCTGTGGGCTCTGGTTGTGGCTTTAAGGGCTGCAGCCCCTCCAAGGTGCAGATCCCCAGGTGCTGGACATTATCTCCACCAGTAGCTGCCAGCTCTGTAAATCCCAAAGTTTCTGGAAAACTCCCTGGTGACTTATGCTCCTAGCCAAGCAGCATTTTCTGTGCCATGGCACATTTTCATCTGAATTCCAGCAGTGCAGGCTCCCTCTCTGAGTGCCTCTTTCTCACGCCTTCACCACAGGTACAATGCTCACTGCATCCCAGTTTGAACAAACAGGATCCAGTTTTCCATGTGAAAGTGGGAGAAGTTTGAATGGGGGAGGAAGAAAAAGCAGAGGGGGAGAGGCTGGCTGGTAGTGATTGTGCTGGAAAACTGGATTTCAGGCAGTGGGAATTTAAGTTGAATTATCACAGATGCAGTGTGGAAATTTTGCCTTCCGTTAGAAATCCATGTTTCTGTAGGAATGGGGGAGCAGTGGGAGAGAGAGGATGCAATAAAGCTCTGTCCAGCTCACTGTGGTGAGCAAAAGAAACCATTTCACTCAGGCAATGCAGAGGGGGCTATTTTGAGAGTGCTGGAAAAGAAAAAGCCCAGAGCAGGAGCAGTGCTGGCCCAAATTAAAATTACTGAAGTCCATCAGGAGAGAGGCAGAACATCCCACAGGAGGGCAGATGTCAGCAGAGCCCTGAGTCATGTTTTCCTCCATTTTGCTAAAAGCCAAGAAGAAAGAAAACAAACCCAATTGCTGTGATTTTTCCCTCAGTTCAGCAGCTCTGCCAGCAGCTCCAGGGATGCTGGTTTGGCAGCCTCTGGGATTTACCCACCATAGCTGTCATCTCCCCTTTTGCCTTATCCCTTTGGGATGGGGGCAGTATCCCAAAGATTTTCTGTTAGAGATGCTTGCCAGGTCTTTCCAGGCTCAACAGATACCAGGGATCAGAGGGGCAGATCATTAGTGTTTAATTACAGATTTGCAGAGTTACCCCATGTCCCTGGCTGGGACAGGGACATTGCTGTGCTGCTGTCTCCAGAGTAAGGAATCCCTTCTCCATGGGGCTCTCAGAGGTGCAGGTGATGTTTTTAGCACACCCTCCCCATTCATCTCCTCTTCAGTGTCTGCCATCTGCTCCTCCCTGTCCTGGGGCATTAATAAATGAGGAAGCTCAGGAGGGAGGAGAGAACTGGGGCTGCTGGGAGGAGAAAGGGCAGCCAAGGAATGTACAGATAAGCAGGATGAAGGAAAAATAACCTTTTCCCAACTGGCAGCACTCCATCAGCCAGTCCCAACGCCATCACCCTTGGCTGACCATGATGCCTGCAGCACTGAGGTGCCAAAGTCCCATGAGGGAGATGTTGGGACCCCAGAGCCTGTCTGGAAGGCAGAGCTGACCCACCTGAGTGAGCAAACCTGCTGGCTCCTCAGTGCCAGCCTCCCAGCTGTTCCCAGTCCTGGAATGGGAAGATGTGTCTGGAGCCACGTGTGGGTGTGGAGGCAGCTCTGGCCTCTCAAATGAGTTGCTTAACAGGCAGGGCAAAAAGAGAGGAGATGCTCTTCCCCTTTCCTTGCCACCCTAATCTCCAGAGGAAGCTTTTCTGTTTATATTACAAGGCAAAGGAGGTTTTTGCTGTGGGAGTGCAGGGCAGGCTGTTGAGTGGAGGCTGCTCACCCTGGGCATCCTGATATCAATGGGCAGCCAGACCTGCCATCCCAGGCATTCATTCCAACTTCACATACAGCTAGCTGCAGTTACTGCAGTTTTCATGGCATTTGAACCCTGGACATTTAACAGCAGCAAATGACCTGACAGTGACCTCCTCGCTGGGTCATAACACACCCCCACCCACCAGGCCCAGGAAACAGGGAATTAAACCAGAGGTGAAGAGCACAGGCAGTGGCACAGCCAGCACAGGGACTCAGAGACTCTGGGAAAGTGTGACAACTTCAGTGGGTTGCCAGAGACACACCACAGTTGGAATCACAGCCTTTCCAGCCAGGATGGTGTCTTCCAGACAGATGTCAATTTGGGAAATCTTCAGCTCCTGACCAAAACAAGTCATGACTGCTCTAACCTCATGCCTGCAAGGAAAAACACAGATACCATGTGTGCAAATGTAGGGTTTGGCTGTTCTGCTCATGCTCTTGCCTGGTAACTCCTTTAAAGTTCTTTGCAGTTTGTAATGGCTGAGGCTGGAGGGGCTCTTTGGAGCTTGTCCAGCTCAAGGCCCAGCCTGAAAACATCCCCACTCACAGGCTCTGGCTCAGCACGTGTAGTGGAATCTCCTTGTTTGGAGTAAAAGCTTCCTCCTGGAATCCTGAAGGAGTTCACGTGGTGGCCCAGCCAAGGAGGAGGCAGCACAGAGCAGCCCAGACCTTGCCCGTGCCACAGCCTGCCTTCCCAGCCCCTGCCCCTGCAGAAGCAGCAGCCCTGGGGTACCCCTGTCACCCCAAATTCTGCACAGGAGCCATCCCAGGCATCTTCCTCTGGCCCTTCTCTCATGGCCTGATGAAGGTGGATGTGAAATGCTGCTGTAGAGCCATGCTTGAGGGGGCCTTTAATGAAGGCAGGAGGGTGTTGAAACACAAGGAACACTCAGCTACCCGGGATTGTCTGGTTAGGCCCAGCCCTGCCAGACTTGTGGCCTGTTCAACAGAGGCTCCTGAGTGTCACCTTACTGAGGTCAGGGCATCATGAGCAGCTCTCTGAGACTGTACAACGTGGCACCCTGGCCCTGGGCTGGCTACAGCTCAGCCTGCTTCCAGCCTCCTCAGGGACCCTGTTTCCCTTTCCCAGCCTTAAGCCTAAACCTTAAGGAACAACTTGCCTGTAATTCCATGTCTGCACACACTCACCTTTGGAATGCACCTCATGCACTGGAGGCATAGATTAAAACTGGTGGCCAGTCAAGGGGCGACATTTCAGAACCACAAAACACTTTTCAAATGTCTTTATGCTTCCCCCATGCCAGCAGTGTGACTGCCTTGAATTTTTTGTGTGGCTCTGACATTAGTTCCTGGCACTAAGCAGTGAAGGAGTGAGAGGGGAAGAGGAGAAATCTTGCAGAGGGACAGATGGGCAGTGGATATTTGTGGAGCTTTTATGAGGAGGAGAAAAGGGCTTTAAGATTCCTTCCTACCCAACCATTCTGTGACTGTCCTTGCTGACTTGCTGCTCAGCTTTGATATTGTCTAATAAAGAATAAAATAAAAAAACCCAAAGCAATAATAAGCAGATTAAAGGAATTACCCTTGAGGAGAATAAGCAAGATTTTATCAGAAAGCTAATTTGAGAGGTGATTCAAGAAATAATTTTTGGTTAATAGCTCCAAGCTGGTGCAGGTCCTTGGGGTTACCTGGTGTTGGAGCATGGCTGCCAATGGCTCTAGGGGTTGGATTGGCTCTGGTCCCTGCAGCTTTACCAGGCTGGAGCAGTGAGGGCTGGGCTGTGTCCTCATGCTCCTGTCCATCCTGCAGCTAAAATTTAAGGAGAAAGAGGTACTAAACTAGTGGTCAGCCAAGTAGAAAAAGCTGACTGCCAATGCCATTTGTTCTAGGGGCTGGGTGCAGAAACAGAGAGGAAACTTTCAAGGCCTTTATTTTCCCCTTTGGTGCCTGAGTGCAACCAAAAAATGCGAAGGGCTTGCTGTGGGTCCACGGCTGGGCACTGAGCAAGGTGGGAGCATTGCTGCAGATGTCAGCAGTGCTGGTGGCACACCAGAGCACAGCAAGGGGCTGGCCCTGGTCCCTGCCTGTCCCAGCTCAGGGCAGAGTGCTGCCCCAATCCAACACGGAGTATTTATCCTGTTACCCCGTGTGTTTCTGCAGGTCCCAACTGCTTTGCGGGCACCACGATCATCCCCGCGGGCATCGAGGTGAAGGTGGACGACTGCAACATCTGCCACTGCCACAACGGGGACTGGTGGAAGCCAGCGCAGTGCTCCAAGCGCGAGTGCCAGGGCAAGCAGGCTCTGTAGCAGCCCTGGCAGCCGCCCGCTCGCGCGATGCCGATGATGGTGATGATGGTGATGAAGGAACGGCCTCGATGCTGCCCGGTGTCCGCCCTCCTGCCAGCTGCAAGCCCTGCGTGGGTGCCACGTGAGCAGAGCTGGGTGCCTTGGGCAGGGTGTCCCCGTGCCCCTGCAGCTCCTGTCCTGCTGCTCACACTCTGCTCCCGGTGTCTGCTCTGCTGTGGGGCAGGACAGCAGGAAAACAGCCCACACACCTTCCTGGCCTGGCCATGCCTCCGAGCACCGATGGATTCACTGCTCTCACTTTCTACAGTGTGGATCTGGGGTTTTTCACAGCTATTTATTTGAAGGTTTTTTGCTATTGTGATTTTTTTTTTTTTTTAAGTATCTTCCTAAGCTGGGATCATTGGGACAATACAGCTACGAGTGGAGCAATAGATGGAGCATTTGTATCGTGTAAGCACAGGTGGCACTAAGGACCGGAGGGAGGTAGAAATTACAAGGGATGGGGGGGTTAAAAAAATCCCAACTGGAATGTAACCTGCAGCAGGACCGAGGTAGATGCACAGGTATAGACTGGACAGCCACGACACAAAGCTGTATCTGTGTTACACTTTCTCCACTGAGTGGGGACAATAAAGTTGAAGACACCTACACAGTCAATGTGACCTTGATGGGAGCAGGGCCCACAGGCTGGGGCAGCAACCAGAAGGTGCTCCATGAAAGCAACATCTTACCTGGCCTGTTTGTGTGTGATTCCTGGCTGGGGCATCAGTGGTGGAGCAGAGGGAAGAGGGCCCAAGCTGATTCCTGGGCTGAGCACTTGCTCACCTGCCTTGTCCCATCCCGAGGCTGCTCTCACTGGAGCCAAGGGCAGTGTTTCATTGCCTTCAGTGACAGCAGGTCACAGTTGAAATACGGGATCACCCCACTCTGGAGGTTCCCAGGAATGTCCCACAGCTGTGGCAGCACCACACTGGCTCAGCTGGCAGGTAAGACCCTTTGCTGCAGTGGGAGGGAGCTGCCCTGGCTCTCTCTGGGAGCATCCACCCTGCTGGGGACAAAGCAAGCCATGGTGCAGCAGGCTGGGCTGGGCTCCTGTGAGGGCTGTCCTCCAAAGCAGCTGCTCCCTGTGCCTGCAGAGGTCCCAGCAGCCAAGGGTCCCATCAGGCTTTCCAGCACTGGCACCTCCTGCTTTCTCAGGCTGCAGCTTCCAGGCGGTGCTGTGAAAGAAAAGCCACCAATGTCATCTCCACTGGTGATGGAGACACAGGGGCCTTTCCCATCTCTGTCCACGCTTGCTTCCCTGCTCTTTGGTCAGTGCCATGGGGGTGGTGGTGCTCATTTTGGTCAGAGTTCAGGCTCCAGTGCAGCACCCGCTCTCAACAGTGACGGCAGCAAATCCTCCCCACAGCATCCTCACCGAAGCAGCTCAGCACATCAGGCTCAGTTTATACACACTAATGCCTTTATACTTCATTTCTTCCCCGTTTTGGTGTTTCCCTGGAGGGCAGGGTGGGAGGAGCACTTGGCACAGCAGCTGCTGTCCTGTGGCTGAGCAGGTACCGTGCGAGACGTCATCGCCACGTTCCTTTGTAAGCTGTTGCCTGTCAATGACTATCCAGTTTCAAAACCTTCAAACAATAGTGTGCCTGAAACTAGTGAGAAAAAAAAAATCTGTACAAATGGGAGGGAGGGGTCCTAGAAACAATATTTGATGTGTAAAAGACTATATTATTAAAAAATTATTTTGTTAAATATAAAGTGTGTGAACCAGCAAAAAAACCCCAAAATTACATATTTGTGGTGTATTTTACTCTGCTGCTCATCAGCCCCTCAAGCTCCCAATTCCCCATCTCATCCCTTGCTCCAGCTCCTGCCTCTTCACAGTATTGGTGAGTGCAGCTGGGGTGGGAAGAGCAGGTGGGGAGCTTGGAAGTAGCCATGAGCACCCCATGGATGGGATGGGTTGCTCAGGAAGTGTCTCAGCAGTAACTCACTAAACCAGATTTGCTTTGCCAAACCAGGATTCCCATTTGTGGAGCTGCCATGGACCAACACAGCTCCCAGGCTCTCACTTCAACCTCCATCTGCTTTTTTATTACTTTTACTGGTGCCATTTTATACTTGATGCCATTTCCTGAACATGGAAATTTGCTTTCAGTTCACAAACTCCTTTTGATACCTCCAGATGCATCATTATTTACACTGATTAGTAGTTACTCTAATTAATTACAGCTTAATTACTGTAGTTAATGTTTGTACAGTGCTTGGAACAAGTACAGCACTATACGTGCCACATATTATTATTTTCTTCGTTATTAATTAAGCACCATCTCCATTCCATGCTGTGCTACTTCATTATTTCCCAAGGAGTCACAGTAGCACCCTTCTTCCCACCCAGGAGTACTTTTGTCCCAGCTGCAGTGCTGGATTGGCATGGCAAGAGCAGGGGCACTGCAAAGGAACATGGGAATGCTCAGGATTTTGCCCTTCACTGTGGAAAATAAATGGGAAGAGGCAGATGGGGACCCCTTGACCCCAAGGACCCCACAGAGGGAGCAGGAGCATGCTCTGGGTCACACAGGGGAAACCCTGCAGATCCCATTGTGGGTGTGTCTGCAAGGTCTCCGTGGCTGTAGAAGGGAAACTGATCCCCCAAATCCAGCAGTGTCAGACAGTCCCACCAAGGGACCCCACAGCTCTGGGACCACAGGGAGAAGTGAAGGGCACTGATCATTCTCTAGGAAGCCTTCCACTGTTTGTGTGGAAGAGTTGCCAGTCACAGGTGGGCAGTGTCTCCACAGCACTGGGGGTGCCAGTAGCCCCAAAAATCACTGCCACCACTCTGCTTCCCATCAGCCCCTCTCAGGCCAGGGTGGAACCAGAACTGAATTCCCATCAGGCACTCTCCAGATACACTACAGAATGTCATCCCAATCCCAATCTCCTTCTTTTTTTTTTATTTTTTAAATGTTGTAGTTCATTTCTTTCTTTAATTAATCACAGCTCTGGGCCAGCCAGCCCCATTAACTACTCTTCTCATTTAGACCTTTCAGAGATGCAGTTGCAGATGCAATTTAATTTGTTGACCCGTGATCGATAGCAATTAATACCATCTCTTTAATCTTGTTGAAAGGTTCATCTTGGGCTTCCAGAGGCTGCCAGCTGAAGGGAAAGGTGCCTGGTACATATGTTATCAGATGGGAGAGCACAACCCCCTCCATGGGCACCGTCCTCCCCGTGCCCCCAGGCTGACACTCTTGAAAATACATCAGGTATTTGTGGGAGATGGAGGAGGGAAGGTGGATAAAGGTGAGGGAAGATGCTGAGGGGTGAAGAAGAGCAGAGGCTTTGGCAGGGCAGAAGGTAGGGGAAGGTAGAGTTGATGGGTTGGAAAAATGAGGGGAGATAGAAATGGTACAGCCTAGCAGATGTGGCTGGAAAAGGGAGCCAAAAGGACTGGAACTGGAGCAAGACAGCTCAGAGGCAACACCTTCAGCAGGAGCAACAGTGAATTTTGCAGAAGAAACAGCCCCAGTCAGGAAAAGTCCTTCCTCTTAAGGTTCTTACACCCAAACCTCGCTGATGTGATGCTTTTGCCCCCAAATGCAGCAGCTGTGTACAGTTCCCTCCTCCTTCTCCTAGCAGTGGGAAAGCCCATCCCAGGAGCATCACCTTTCCCTGTCCTCATTAATATGCCATTAGTCAAGATTGTTTTATAATTACAGAATTATTTCCTGCACACCCCAGGGGGAATGACTCAGCTCCGGAGCACAGCAGGGCAATGTCTTTCTCCCCCAGGAAGCTGCAAATCACTCTCCAAACCAGGCTGAGCCTGGGAAAACCCAGCTTGGGATACTCTCCATCCTGCCAGGGCTCCTGAGGCAGCAGCACACAATGGCTTCAGTGGCACACAGTGCCCTGGTGACCATCCCCTGGATGCCAGATCCACTGCAGCAACCCCTGTCCAGCTAGAGGAAAAAGCAAAGAGCAAATCCCAGGATTCCAGCAAGAGCAATAAAGTGTTTCTCTTTGGTGGTTGTTAAAGGGGAAAGAGGGCCCATGTGGATACAGGGCAAATGAATGCCCTTTGCACAGCAAAAGGACATGGGTTTGCAACAGCAAGTCAATAGAGAAAATGAAAAATTTATCAAGAATCCAGCTTCCTTGTGGTGTGGAAGCTTAGCTTTTAAAACACAGGGGATGGAAGGCATGGAAAGGAATTGCCTGTATTTATATATTTAGGATCATAGAATGGTTTGGGCTGGAACCTTTCAAGGGCCATCTAATACACCATATGGATTTATTTGTATTTGCAGGTAGACTACCTTTTTTATTTTTTTTCAAGAGAAAGTATCTTTTTACCATGACTAAGTCCAGTACCTAAAAAAGCTCTTCTCTCAGAAGATGCCAGCTCATGCCCCCACTCAGCCACGCACAGACAAAGGGATAATTATGCACTAGGAAATTGGAAGGAAAGCCAGAACCCAGCACAAAAGCCAAGCCAGGCTCCTTTGGGATGGCACAGAATGAGGTGGTGCCCCTGCCAGCACTGACTGGTCTTGTCCTGGGGGCAGGTGATGGTTGCACCCACCTGCAGAGATGGCCTCATCTTTTGGACAGGCAGCTGGGTCTTATCCATGGCTGCTCAAGACAGACAAAGCCTCTCCTTTCTCAGGAGTTCATGTCCTCTGACTGTGCTGGCTCCCCTGGAGACACTATTTCATAGAATCAGGGAATGGTTTGGGTTGGAAGGGACCTCAGAAATCAGCCCATCCCACCCCTGCCATGGCAGAGACACCTTCCACTATCCCAGGCTGCTCCAAGCCCCATCCAACCTGGCCTTGGACACTTCCAGGGATCCAGGGGCAGCCACAGCTTCTCTGGGATGTGCCAGAGCCTCACCACACTCACAGGGAAGAGATATCTGCATTTAATTAATTAATTATTCAAATTAGTTATCTGCATTCCTGTGAGCTGGGAGCTGATATTTTCTTGGCACTGGGCCTCCCACAAAAGAAGGCAAGGGCCTGGGTGTGGCAGCACCAAATGATGCTTTCTGACAGTTTCAGGGCATCCTTCCCAATCCTCACTCATGGAGCAGCCCTGGAGCTGGACCTGCACCTCTGCCTGGCCTTTTCTGCACATCACCCCATGCTGGAGCTGATATTTTCTTGGCACTGGGCCTCCCACAAAAGAAGGCAAGGGCCTGGGTGTGGCAGCACCAAATGATGCTTTCTGACAGTTTCAGGGCATTCTTCCCAATCCTCAGCTCATGGAGCAGCCCTGGAGCTGGAGCTGGAGCTGTACCTGTGCCTGGCCTTTTCTGCACATCACCCCATGCTGGTGGCCCATGGTGAAAGGAGCCTTTCTGCTGCTGGCATCAGATACAGGAGATGGTGATCTGGGGAAA